GGCTAAGCCCGGCTCGCAGGAGGGCAGTGGCTGTGCCGGGTTGGGGGCTCCCCCTGATAACCTCTGTCTGCTCTCCCCAGGTGAAAAGATGGGGTGCTTCACCTTTATCAAAGTCATAATGATCCTCTTCAACCTGGCCATATTCGTAAGTGCACTCCCATGGTTGTCTCTGCCCGGAGGGCCCGAGCCTGGCAGCCCCCTCCTCTGCCCGGAGAAACTGGGATGAAGGGCCCGGGTCTGCGGGAGCAGCTCCTGGGGCGCACCCTGAGCTGGGCATGGGGTGTGCGAAGCCTGCCTGTGTGGGCTCTCCTGCCGCTCCACACCCCCTTCTGCGGGGGGTGGAGAGGGCGTCATGGGCAGTTGGGTGTTGGTGGGACTCGTGCTCCTGGGACCCTGGTGGGGTGTGAGATCTGGTCTCTGGCCCCAAGCTGAGGACTAAAGCCCTGGGCTTGCAGGGGTCTCTCGCTCTCCAGCTCTGGCCAAAGCCCAGGGGACTGTGCTGGGCTCTGGGGATGGTGGCTATTGCATCAGCCACCCATGTCCCTACCTGTGCTGAAGCTTTGGCGAGGGGTGCTGCGTGCCCCAGAGCAGGGGGGTTTGCTGGGTCTCTGCCTGAGGGGCTCCATCTTTGTAGGGGAGCAGCCCATGTGTGTGACAGCGACCTGCGGTGTCGGCGGTCTTGGATGTTGGGGATCCCTGGAGCACACACAGCTCCCACTTGGGGCCCAGGGTAGTGGAGCTCCTGCAAGCTACCCTGGCTCTGGAGGAGCAATGGAGCCGTCTGGAAGGGGGTGCGGTGGGGTATAGCCTTGGGGGGGTGCAGAGCCCCCAGGCTTGCCCTGGTGAAGCACTCCCTCCTTAAAGCTCCTGCCAGGACTTGGGGCTGGTGGGGAAGGTCGAGCGGGTGGAGGGCAGGCTGGAGGCAGCCCTGAGCTGCCCTTGCCAGGAGTGTGTGAGCGTCTGGGGCTGGGGGCTGCTCCCTTGGGCAAGTAGGCAGCTTCCCCGGCTGGAGGGACTCGCGGCAGCATGATGGTGGCCATAATCTGAGCTGGCTGTGTGGGCCCCTCTGGGGTCAGGGGGTGGCTGGTGGCACCGCTGGTTCGGCTGCCCTGCGTGGGGGTTGCTGCCCCGCTGCTGGCACCGCAACCCCTTGGGCTGGGGAAGGGGGCAGCTGCAATACTGTAGCTGGGGATGTGCTGGTGGTGAGGTATGTTTTGGGGTAGTGACCCACCCAGACACCCCAAGCCTGTGGCGGCAACACCCTGAGCTGCCCTCAATGGCCACAAAGTTTTGCTTTGGCACGCTGAAAATTTGCAGAGGGGAGAAATACCTGTACCAGGACTTTCCCCAAGTCCCTGGGGTGAAGGGGTGCTGCTGCCTGGCTCCTGGGGTGGAGATGGTGCTCCCTTACCAGCAACCTGCCCCAAGCGGGGGCACCCGCAGCACTGAGGCTGCCCCCTCCATGACTTAGTGAGAGGCTCTTCTTCCATCCAGGTGTGGTCTGCTGGCAGGAGGTGGCTGGTTTCCCCCTCCTCCCATCCTTCCTCTCGTACTCGTGATGATGAAGAGGCTGGGGACAATGGGGGTGGGGGTGGTCCCCAGCCACCACCCCTCACCCCTGCCAAGATCTCTGCCTGCCTAACGTGTCTCTCTCCTCCCAGCTTGGTGGCGGGACCCTCCTGGGAGTTGGCATCTGGGTCACAGTGGATGTACAGTCATTCCTGGATATATTTGGGGCGCTCTCCTCTAGCGTCCTGCAGGTTGTGAATGTGAGCTACTTCCTTATTGTCATTGGTGCCATCCTGCTGGCGATCGGCTTCCTTGGGTGCTGCAGTGCCCAGAAGGAGAGCCAGTGTCTCCTGATGATGGTATGGACCTGACTTATCTCCTTATCAAGCCTCATTTGAGCTGGGTCTCTGGTAGGGGAGGTCTGAGGGATAGACTTCTCCATGGAGATGTCCTCCTTGGATGTTCCCATGTGGTGGAAGGCTGGGTGGACCTTGGAAAGGCAGTGCTGGACCCAAAGTCTGCCCTGGGCAAGGGTGAAGGGAAGCAGGAGCTGGTGCTGAGAAGAGGTCTCTCTTGGAGCATGTCCGGAGAGGTCAGCCCCATGCAGATGGAGGGTTGGAGGACCCCAAGGTTGTGCTGCTTCTGCTTTGGAGCAGAGCTGAAGGCAATGAGACAGGGCTTGAGCCCTGAGGGAGGGTCCTGCTGGTCCTTGGGAAGCAGATGTGTTCCTGGGGGCCCTGTGGACTCTGGCTGTTGCTTTGATCTCCTTCCCCTTGCTGTGTCCTAGTTCTTCTCGGTGGTGCTGATCATCTTCATTGCCGAAATTGCTGCTGCCGTGGTGGCTCTGGTCTACACAAGTCTTGTGAGTGGCATATATAAGTCTCGGGTTGGGCTAATCTGGGACCTGCCCTACCCCTTGGGAAAACAGGAGACACTGGGGCTGGCAGTGCTGCCCATGGATGGGAAGCTGAGAGGTGGGCACTGCTGCAGGAAGAAGGGATTGCCAGTCCCTGCTGGAACCAGCTATGTGGGCAGGCTGGGGCGGCCTGGCTGGGGTGAGGGTGGTGGGAACAGGGATTCTCACTGCCCTAAAGAAATGAGGGTTATGGTACAAGTTTCACCCACTTCTTTCTTTCAAACCCCTTAGCCCAGTACCAGCTGAGGCTTGACACCTCTCCACCTCTGATGGTAGGAGCCACATGGGAGAGGAAGTCCTTAATGCTTCATGCTGAGCAAACGCAACCCCTTATTAGGCACCTGAGAAACCACCTGGGAGAAAGGTGACTTTGCCTCATTAGGCACTGGAGAAGTCAACCGCAGGGCAAATGTCATTCCTGGCTCCCTCAGTTAAGCTGCTTATCAGATGACTCACTGGTCATAAGTGGCCTTGGTGCCATAAAGCATTGGTTAGTGAGGAAGGGATCAAACTGTCCTCGGCCCAAAGGGACGTGGTGTGACGTGTTCCTGGCCATGCTGGGTCTGGTTGGTCTCCTCCCCATGGGCTGAGACCAGTATGGGGGTGCTCGGCTCTGTGGTGCTCCCCAGGACCTTCTCTGATGGTGTTTCTCTGCCTCTTCTTCCAGGCAGAGACGCTGCTGACGGCTGTGGTGACCCCTGTCCTGAAGGAGAAGTATGGGGCAGATAAGAGTCTCACACACATCTGGAATGTCACCATGACGGAGGTGCGCTGAGCCCTGGGGCCCCCGCCCCAAGCTGAGCATGCTCCCAGCACAGGCTTGGTGGTGCACACCTGGGTGGGCTAGCAGGATGGGAATGGGGACACCATCGCAATCCTGGATGTGCTGAGCTGTCACCACCCCATCAGCTTCCCAGGTGCCTGGGACCTACCCACTTGGGATCTAGTGGTCCTGTGGCTGGGGTGAGAGCTGTACGTGTTGGAGTGTGGGGCAAAATCCTGGTCCCAAGAAGGCCATTGAGCAACCCCCCCCAGAGCTGGGTTGAGCTGGGTGACCCCCTCCATGGTGGGGTGGGGTCCAGACAGTGTCTGACCCAGGAGGGAAACCTGCAGGATGCTCTCCCCATCCCTTCCTCTCTCTCCCTCTTAGGTCCATTGCTGTGGCCTGAATAACTACACAGACTTCACCGACTCCCCCTGGCATAAGGAACACAATACCTACCCGGAGTCCTGCTGTGATGATAAACAGCCCTGCAACGACACACTCGCCGCAAGCAGTGATGTCCCGGTATGGATGCGCCAGTGGCTCTTGCCTTCTGGCAGAGCCTGGTTTGGGGTGTGCCCTGGCACGGGGAGGGAGACCTGTCCTGTAGCTCCAGCCTCAGCTCTGGACACAGTGGTCCCATGGGCTTTAAGTCCTGGGGGATGCTGTGTTGGCCTTGGCTTGTCCCTGGTGGAGATAAGCAAAGCTGCTATCATTGCTCTGGTCCTAAAGGGAGCTCTGCAGCAGGGTAGCATGCCTGCAGTTGAGCATGAATCCAGGCACCGCTCTGCCTTTTTGGGTGATTTCCCTGCCTCTTCCCCTCCTCCCCCCGGCCCAATACTGCGCTTTGGCCTGAAAAGTGGCTGAGATGAGTTGCCCCCTGAAGCCCTCAGACCTTCTCCGTGGCTGTGCAGCTCTGGGCTGGAGAACCGTACCTCCCTTTCTGGGGATGCTGTGCCCCAGCGGTTAGGGGATCACTACCCTTTGCTTGTCCTCATGTGTGTGGCTGCCTCCTGCAGGGTTGTTTCGCTCAGATCTTGAAAGAAATCAAGACTCATGCAGGTGTGGTGGGTGGCGTGGCAGCCGGCATCGCTGCCTTGGAGGTGAGTGCCTGAGCATTGCTGTGCTGCTGCCTCCCCCTTGTACCTGGAGGTGGGCGGTGGGGCTGGGACCAGCCTGGGTGGCCGAGGGGCTGCAGGGGGCTGGTGCAGCCCCATGGACCACCATCTGCCCCAGGGTGGCTACTGAGCCTTCTTCCCTGGGCACACGCAGCTCTTCCTCCTTGCGTGTGCTGGGGGTGCATGCTACAGGCTGTGACCCAAACCCTTGCTGGGGGGGGACACTTGGGGGGCTGACTTGCCTCTTGCCACCCCCAGATCGCGGCCATGGTGGTTGCCATGTACCTGTACTGCCGTCTGGATCAGAAATGACCCCACGAGGCAGGAGGATGATCTGCCCCCCCCACCATGCCGGGGTGCGCCCATGGCGTGCCATGCTTTCAGGGGGACCTCATCGCTCCCTGGGCCTGATGCTGTCCTGTGCACTGTGATTTATAGCTGTGTTTTGATCTGCTGAGCTGGGATCCACGGAGTTTGTGTATATTTTTGTACTGATATGGCACACTGAGTCTGTACATAGAGATTTGAAGTGTTTTTTGAAGGAGGGGGCGGGGGGGAAGCTGCTTGGTCTTTTGGGGAGATGAAGCGGCACAGGGGCTGATCAGGGCTGCTGATCTGGCAGTGGCACAGCAATGCCTTGACAAACCCTTGTGTGGTACTGTGCCTCTCCCATGGTGTCCCTGTGCGGGGGCTGGTGGGGCAGGGGGCTGGCATGGGGGCTGGTCTGTGCCCCACTGCGTTGCTCCATTGAACTGGGGCTGGTGCCCAGCCAAGGTGTTGTAGGTGGTAACAACACCCTCACATGGGGACATGGCTACCCCTACACCCATTTTCTGCCAGCCCTGACTTTGTCACCGTATTGTGCCCTAAGAGGTGCTGGCTGGTCTCTGTCCCTCCCCTGGCAGGGAAGCACGTGAAGCAGGTGTATGAAGCACAGCCCTGTCGGTCCCTGGCTCTGTGGGGGCCGGGGCTGCCCTGTACCCCCTGTCATTTCATGGCTGAGCCCCTCTCCATGCTGTAAAGAAAAACAAATAAATTTTTCATCTTGGATACAAATTATTTTCTGGAATCAATCTCAGTGCTGCCTTCAATAAATAGCCTCTGCCTAGGGCAGTGCAGGAGGGAAGGGGGCTGCCTTGCCCTCGCCCCCGCCCCATGAGCCTCATGCAGGCAGCGCAGCCCTGCCTGCAGCCTGCCTGCCCTCCCTCTGCTGCGGCTCCTCACCTGCTCGGGTGCTTGGAAACAAGCAGCCCGGTGTTTTCACAACAGCCGGGGAGTGGTGGGGGCTACCATTAGCCGTCCAAACCTGCCCTGCCCTCCATGCCAGCTGCTGCTCGCTCAGCAATGCCGGTTCACCGACCGAGCAATGGCTTGGCTTGAAAGGCAGGGCTGGCTCTGAGGGGGTTGCACTGGTATCCCCATCAGCCCCGGGAACCCCAAATGGAGTGGTTGGGGTGGTGAGGGGGAGGGGGTCCTGCCAGCCCCATCTCCGAGCATCTCCATCCCCTAGCACGGTCCCACGTCACCCGTGGGGGGATGTGGGGGGGTCGCACCCATGGTCCCTCTATGTGTGGGGATGGTGGGGGGCCGTGGGCGGGCTGGGAGGGTTTCCAGCCACCTCCTTTCCCCAGCGTTGCTCCCTCCCTGGCTTCAGTGCCAGCCAGTTACCTCACCTTGAGCATCCACTCACTGTGCCTCAGTTTCCCCATTTCAAAAGCGAGGCCAAGGGGGGTGGTTTGGGGGGGGTGGGTGTTGTGGAGGGCTGCTTCACCCTCCCTGTTGTGGAGGCTCCCTACCTCCCTGTTTGTGGGGCAGAGCACGAGGGCTGTGGGGCGGCAGTGGTGAAGGACGGGGCGATCAGCAGCGGGGCAGGAGGCCAGTGTGCAAACAGCCTCCCCGCGCGCTGCCTTGCTCCATGCCTGCCATGGCACTCCCTTATCAGCTCCTGCACTGGGTACGGGGCTGCACCGGGGCACCTCTGTGGCCCCTCAGGGTCTGGCAACTCCCCGGCACCGTCCAGCACCCAGAACGCTGGCGGGAGCAGCCGGGTGGCAGCAGGATGGGCACAGGGACCTG